TGTGTGAGCATGTGCCCCTTTCTCTTGATTCCCTACTAACACACTCATGCACACACGCACGCGCATACATATACACATTTATGTATGTGGATGGGGCTACATATGCTGTGCGTCCAAATTACCCTAGAACTATTACCAGTTCAAGGGACGGGTGGCCCTGCAAAAGCTGCTGATCAGCGACGTCGAGGGGCCAGTGGCCTCAAACCGTGGACCGATGGCCAATGTCTTCGAGATGACGCGCTACGATACCTCGCCTCCCAAGAAGTATTACATTTGTCTGCGCTCGCAACAAGAGAAGCGCAAGTGGCTCTCCCTGATTCAGGCTCGACAGGACGCTCTGCCGCCGGCAGTATCGCCGGTAGACGGTGCGCCCTCTTCCTCCCCTCCCCCCTCCCTCCCTTCTCCTCTTCATGTCCCTGACATTTGCCCACACGAACAAAAAAAAACACCTTCTGCCCTGCTCCTTCACATAGTCACTCGGCTTCATGTCGATACGGCCTCCCTATCTCCAGGTGGCCATCCATCGGCCTCGCCGCAGCCGTCGCCCACTCCCGGTGCCGGGCGCTTCTTGTCGGTGGAGGTCTCGGGCCTTTCCGGGACCGAGTCCGGCTCGCGACCCTCCTCGCCCTCTGGCGGCTTCCATGCGTCCCCCGGGGGCGGCATTGCCAGTGGCACCTCGAGCGACACGCTGGCCAGCGGCCCGGCGGTTACCTCGATCGCCGGCCCGCCCCTGTCCAAGGAGAAGCGCCCGTCCAAGCGTACGGCCGCCATCACGGCCCTCTTCCCCGGGCGTCGGAAGAGCGGTGTGCCGGATGTCGCACAGCAACTCCTGCCTGTGGCGGCCGGGGCCCCTGGTGCTGGGGCTGGTGGCAGTCTCAAAAACAGTCGGTCGGAATCCTCCCTGTCGACTTTGGCCTCCGGAAATGGCACCAACGGCGCCATTCCCGGGCATGACATGTACCACCACCCGGGCAATGATGACTACTCCTTCGCGCGGCTACACTCGCCGGGCGACCCTGCCAATGGTGTCCCTCCCAGTGAGCCCCGCGATCTCGAGCTCAATCGCCGCCTGGTAGATCGCATTGATCTGGCCCTGAAGCAACTTCTGTACGAGGAGGAGCTGGCGGCGAGTGGCGGGTCGTCCAGCAGCAGCCCCGGTGGATTAGTGGCCAGTGGGGGCACCCTGGCCGATTCCCATGCCAAGTCTTTCTCCGTGCCGATTCTGGTGGTGTCGGACGAGATGGACTCGCAGCCGGCGCCGCGTACCCCGGCGAACAAGGCCCCGGCCGCGGCTTCCCCCTCGCCGGTGATTGTGGTGACCCCGTCGCCTCCGAACGATGGGGTCGATGGTGCCGAGTCGGCCGCGGCAGCTGCTTCGGATCCGGATCCGAGCACCCCGGCGGCGGCGACGGCGGCTGCTGCTGCTGCCGACGCCACCCCCAGCACCCCGACATCCCCCATGGCCAAGACATCGGCCCCGGCGCCGGCAATGCTGGCCGAGCCGCTGCGCTCGCCGGCACGGCGCGCATCCATCTCTGGGCCCTCCTCCGGGACCGGGCTCTTCCCCGGCTCGTCGACCGGCTCCTCTTCTGCCCTGGTTGCTGACAGCAAGACCGATCGGTCGGTCGAGGGGGAAGCGCGTGCTCCCCCGGTGGAGCCCAACAAGGCGGCCCTCTCTTCGGCGTCCAGTAGCTCGACCCCGGCCCTTGAAGCTGCTGTCGCCAGGCAGGTTCGGGACTCGGGTGGTACCATTCCCCCGGGGTCCCGGTCCGAGTCCGCCCCGACCGGGGCGCCTCCGGCCCAGGGGCCAACCCGGCGGAGCCGGCGTATCCCGGATGACGGCCCGCTTCCCTCCTTTGCCGAGAGGCAGAAGCTCTTCAGTGGCGGGGGCCCGGCTCCCTCTCCCCTGGGGGGGACCGCGCTGCCGACACGCTCGGCTTCCGTCCGGCCGACAGCCAGTAACTCTGGGCTGCGTCCCTCTCCTGGCGGAGTGCCCCTGATCAAGGCCCACTCTGCGTCCATTGGCCACCTGTCAGAAAGCACGCTAACCGGGCTTCGGTCAACCTCAATCGAAGCACTGGGGCCTGCCTCCGGCTCGTCCTCGACGGGTGCGGGTGGCCGGGCGTCACGGCGTGACGAGCGTGCCGATTGGCTTGTCGAGGCGCGCGGGCAGCTCCGCAAGCACCCGGCCGCGGTGTCTGCCTCCTCTGGCAGCCTTTCCTCATCCACCTCCTCCTCGCTGGGCGGGCGCTAAGAGCCACGCACACGACATTCACATGCGTATGAGTGTGTCTTTGTGTGCGCCTCCATAGCTCCTGGTGCGGCCCGATGGCGGACATGGCATTGGGGGTCATTTTCCTTGTCAATATGAGGCCCTTCGTCCCTCTCGAAAAAAAACCAACACCTCCTTCTGCACCAAAGGAGTGCACGCATTTGGCGAAAGAGCAAGAAGGGCGGGGGAGGAGGGGCGTGGGAGGGGGAAGATGGGACACGGAAGCAAGCAGTCCCAGCGGGGGCGGTCCCTGACTTCCGGGTAGAAAGCGGGGGGGATACTCAGGGGGAGGTAATACTTTCCGGTGCAGCACGCTGCTGGGTAGCATCCCATGGAGGGGTGGGGAACATGACCCAGGCCAAGACAGTCGGATTTCAAGACCCATCATCAGGAAGAAGACCAAGAGGAAGTGGTGGCAGAGGGGGGTATAGGGGTGTGCGTGAGAGAGAGAGAGAGAGAGAAGACGAGCGAGGGAGCAAGGATGGGAAAGACCATCCTCACGAAAGGCAGGCAAGGGGGGGGGGGGGGTGCTAATGTGGGTGTATGGGTGTTTGTATTCTGAAGAAAAGAGGAGGAGTGGGGATCTCAAGGGCTGGGGGAGGTGTCAATCCGATAAACCTGGTGCCGGGTCCGGCCATCCGGCGACGCGGCGAAAAGGAATGCCGTGCAAAGGAGAACATTGCCGGTGGTATGATCGGCCAGGGTCTGGAGCACGGAGAAGTTGTCGAGGACACGGTTCTTGGCCTGAAGGTTGTCGACGTTGTTGCGTAACCGCTCCATGAAGTGCACGATGTAGTCACACAGGGGAGCATGGTTGAAGTGGTAGACGAAATCATCGCCAATGGCCGAGGGCTCCTCGACCTGGATCTTTTCGACAACCGGCTGGCCGAAGGAGTAGATGGACGTCGAACAGCGGACGGTCAGTCGCTCGGAGGAGATATACCGCGCGGCCAGGGCATGCGTGCCATGCGGCAGCACAGATGTGGGGGTCAAGTCATCGGAGAAGGCGCCGGTGCTGGAAGACGGGAGGCTGGTGCTGCCGCCGCTGCCACTGTTGGTGGTGGAGGCCGACGCCGGCGCCGGGGCGCTGGCCTCGGTCCCCGCACCAGGGGTCACCATGGCAGAGGAAACCCCCGCCGTGACATCGTCCAACATGGCGGAACCCACCGACACGCCGGCCCCCGGGGACGCGGCCGCCGTCGAGGGAAGTGAAGCCCCGGCCGGGGGGATGATGCCGCCAGGACCGCTGGCAGAGCCGGACAACGGCGGGGAGGATGACCGGGTGGAGGAATTTGAAGGAGAAGGATCAACGCCAACGGCACTGGCGGCCGCCCCCCCGCCAGGCACCGGGGAGGAGGTCGAGCCAATGGCGGCCGACTTCTTGGTGGGAGGAATGCCCACACCACCACCGCCGCCGGAGGCCGAAATGTCACTGCCATCTGCCGCGTTGCCAGCCACCATCGAAGCAAATTGCGTGGCCGGATTGGACGTCAAGTCCACCCAGAGACGCGCCGCATAGAAGCAATGGGGCTCGCCATACTCCATCAGGGAGTTGAGGCCAGGGAACTTGGACAGGAGGCTGGTCAGCTTGATGGAGGTGTCATGAATCCCCGGCAGCTGGGAGAGATCAGCCTTGCGGGCATACTCATCGGAGGCCAGGCGGGCGGCGGACATTTCCGCCTCACCGGGAATGGTGTCGGAGTGTGTCAACTGGCGCAGGTATTCCGCCTGTCGAGTGGCAATGCGTCGATCCTGCGCCGCAATGTCCACGGCCGTCGGCGCGCCCTGGCTCATGTGCACATAGTGATGGCGAGTGAGCTGGCGTTCGGGGGGGGGAGGGGAAGGAAAAGAGGGCTGGGTACGGCACACACACGCGCGCGCGCGCGCGCGCGCGAAGAGGTGCAACAGAGAAAAGAAGCGAAAAAGGAAGGGACACGGACCACCTCGGACCGCCGAGCGAAGACCCCCCGGCCATTGAGCGGATCAGAGACCTTGGCCAGGACGGCCGCCGGAACGGGCATCTCCAAAAAGGCGGCAAAAAGGTCGAGAGCCATGCGCGGGGAAGCAGGAACCGTGGGTGGGGGCTGCTGCATGATGGCCAGCACATTGGGAGCCAATGCCTGGTGGGGGCCTCCAACATCGGGGAAGACACCGGGGGGATTGGCACCCGTGCGGACACGAGCACCTCCATGAGGCGAGAGGGTGCCGGTGGCCGTGGAGATGGCTGCCGCCGACAGAAGACCGCCCGGCGCCTGGCCAAGGAGGTGCTGAGCCTGGGAGGACGATGCCGCAGAGGAAGACAGAAGATGGTGATGTTGCTGCTGCTGCGCGGCGGCGGCGGCGGCAGCGGCTACCTGCTGTTGCTGTTGCTGCTGCTGCTGCTGCTGCTGGAGCTGCATTTGAAGCTGCTGCTGCATGTGAAGCGAATGTGAACCCGGGCCAGCAGCACCATGAGCACCGGCAATCAGGTGGTGCTGTTGGTTGGCGGCGGTCACCGCCGCTGCGGCCTGCTGCTGCAGGAGGACGGCCGTCTGCTGTACACCCCCACGGATGGGCACATTTACCAAGCTGGAATTGTGCGGGGAGGAATGGTGAGCGAATGGCTGTGCTCCGCCCCCCGGCAGGAAATGACCGCCGCCATGTGGCTGTCCGGAGGAGGACTGTGCCTGACCCGAGTGGTGGGCAAGCTGCGGGACCAGACCCTGGGCACCGGCGCCGGCGCCGGGAAATGAATGGCCCAGAAGCTGCTGGCCTGGCTGCTGTTGGCCCGGGTGATGATGGTGATGGTCACCAGTGGCACCCATGCGCGATGCGAAGGCCCCATAAGAGGCCAGAGATCCGCCACCGGGAGCCTGGGAGTAGGGAGACTGTGGTGATGGGGGCCAGTGGAGAGCACAGGTGGAAGGGCAAAACAAGAAGGTGCATGATCAGGGTGTCTCGGAAGGTCAGAAACACGATGACCCGACGAAATGAGAGAGCAAGAGGATTGGGAGGGGGGATGGAGGCTCCACCCGGCCACCCCTCTCCCCCCCCCCCCCCCCCCCCCCCCCCCCTCCCCCCCCCCCCCCCCCCCCCCCCGCTACTGTGAGTCCCACACGCACCTGGCTTTGACCGATGATGTTGGAAATGAGAGCCGAGCTGCTGGGAGTGGGGGTGGTCTCAGGGTGACCAGCACCAGCTGAGCCATCGGCCCCGGCTCCGGCCAGGCCACCAATGGAGGCAGGGTTGTTGACGGCCGAGGCGGCAGCCGCAGCGGCCACAGCGGCAGCCGCATGTGCAGCCTTCTCGGCCTCGTGGGCCTTGCGATTCTTCTTGGAGATGACCTGAATATGCGAGGAGACCTGCTTGCGAGTGCGGGTCTTGCCGGTTCGCTGGAAGATGAACTTGGCAATGAGCTCATTCCGCCCGTACATCTTACCACCGTCCAGCAGCTTTCGACGGCCAATGGGCGGGAAGAGCTTCAGGGCTTCGTGGAAGGCACTGTGACAGGTCGGTGGCGGATGGCGAGGGGAGAGAGAGAGAGAGAGAGAGAGGTCAGATGAATGAAAGAGAAGCATGGACTGCGGGTGGACATGAAGAAACCGGGGAGGGGGGCGGTGGTGGGGGGAGACGTACTTGTCTACATCCTCGGGCCAAATGTTATCCTCCTCATCGGGCTTCGGGGTGCCACTCTCGGACTTGCTCGGGGGCGGGCTGGCTGAAGAGGAGGGACCTGGGCTCTCGGAAGGGGGGCGCCCGGAAGACTTGGCAGGGGTCTTGGTCATTGGGTGTTTCTGTGGGAGAGACACGCCGGGGGGGAGGGGGAGGGGGGGCAAGCAACAGGGGATGAGGAAGGCAGGGTAAGGGAGAGTCCATCGGGAGGGAAAGCCAGCAGGCCCAACAGGGGAGGAAGACATGATGGTGGGACGCACCAGAAAAAGCGGCGATCAGAAGGGGGGAGGCATGAACGGCACGCGGTCGGGGCGCGCTGCTTCTCTCGCTCGAACTGTATAGCCAACTTGCAGAGACAAGTCAAGGGAGGCGGGGGGAGGGGAAGGGCTGCCCAAAGGACGTGGTGTGTGTTCTTGGCGATCGACACCACGGTGCGCGGAGAGAATGAGGAGGGGGAGGGATGGCGAGGAGGCGGGAAGAGGGGAACAGACTCGAGGGGCAAACGGGAGGCGAGGGGACGAGGGGCAGGCGGGAGGGGGGGGGGGGAGGAATCCATTGGTCCCTGCTCGATGGAGAATTCAATGAGGAATTTGAAGAATTCACGATCAGGAAACTCCCTCTCCTTGAGAATGTGTTTCCCCAGGCAGCAGATGGGAAATCAACGAAGCCCGTCTGCACGGTCCCCGGCCGCGGGAGCTGGAGCTGGAGATGGATGGCGAATCTCCGGGCGGCGTGGGACAGGCTCCAGTCAGCCCGTGGGCGGGTGGCGGTCCCAGGCCTCCAGGCAGCGGGGGGAAGCCCAGGGGGGGGGGGGGACGCGGGGGCCTTGCCCGCTTTCGGGGGGCCATGC